AAATAGAGCTCTCTTTTATGTTGACATGAGGTCTTTATGCCCCTCGTCATCCAAGGGTTGTATTTCATATTATTCATAACTAATTTTTTAGGGAAGCTACAATTAAATATTTTTAAATAAGTATTAAGAAATGAATTGAAAATTGAATCAATATTCTGATCAACAAATACGTTATCCCAAGTTTCATAACTTAATTGAGTCAAGAACTCATTTCTAGAAGCTTTACTGAATTTCCTAACAAAATGCCTACAGCTATTTCGGTTATGTAAAACAATGTTATTCATATATAAGATCTGGACATCATGGTCAGACAGTCCATTAACATGAGGACATATAGTATAATTTCCATGTCTGTGAAGATCAATAAAAATATTATCAATAGCAGAGGCTGAGTTGATTTGGATCCTAGTAGGAAAATCTACTATACTAGAAAGGTTAAAAGAAGATAATAGAACATCCAATTGTTTCTTGTTATTACTATCAGTTAGATAATTTATATTGATATCACCACATATTATCAATTCCAACTTAGTATCATGCAAGAAATTTAAAATAGCATCTAATCCCTTCAGAAAATAAGCAAAGTTACCAGATGGTGCTCTGTAAATAGATAGAACACAAATATTACCATGCAGAAAAGGAAGTTTCACTGCACAAACTTCAAGGTCTTTATCTTTACAAAAGGCACTCAAATTGACATCTAAAAATTTTAGTTGATATACATGTTGAAGTTATTAGTGAAGCAAAAGTGGTTTTAAAGGTGCTCAGTGTTATGAACTGCTTCAAAGCTAATTACCCTGACAGTGTAACAAAAGTGAATTGCATGTAAACACAGTTTTCCTGTGTGTAAGTAAACAAGGGGCAATAATTCAAGTAGTAAAAACCTGTCCTTCACAAGTTCATATTCAGCAAGGATTGACTCTTTATACATATCTTGTAGTGCAGGAATTAATGTAAGAACAATAACTTGAATATTTGTAGTGGAAAAATTTTCCAACATTGTACATATCAGGAGCTGTTGATCATTCTGACTTGTAACATTTAATTCATAGAGATTGATTCACCAGACCCATCTAAAATGTATGCTATTTTCTCTAAGCTTCCTTCTCTGTGAACCTCACTCACAGATCAGTAAAATATGACTTGAAAATAGTTTCAACCATACTGAAACTTGAATGATGGCAGAGTCCTTCGTGAAAGGCCTCGATCCAAACATTTAGCATTACAGAATTGTTATAAGTGGAAATATCTTTTTTTCCATTATGCTTAGCTTCCTCATTTTCTCTATAAGCAGTGAACATGTGTTTGGCATGAACTGCTTTTGTTGTCCAACTGGTTATTGTTATTCTGTTAATTACATTCTTCCACCTCTGTGAACAGGATCTCCACTTATTGTTTTATGTGGCTAGGTATCCAGTAGATAAAGATTGTCTCATTTGTCAGGGACCTAGGTCCCTGGGACAGACTGTCAGAATGTGTAATTATCTTCTACTCAGGCTGACTGAGCAATTAATTCTTAGGTTGAAGAAAGCAGTCTTCTGGGATTTGGCACCGTGTATATGTGGTGTTAACCGACGTTTCGGAGGAACGTATCGCCTCCATCTTCAGGGTAGATGAAAAAATATAAGAAATCTGCAAGCGAAGAGACCGTGAGAACCGGTAAAAGCAGACTGCACAGTCTCTTCGCTTGCAGATTTCTTATATTTTTTCATCTACCCTGAAGATGGAGGCGATACGTTCCTCCGAAACGTCGGTTAACACCACATATACACGGTGCCAAATCCCAGAAGACTGCTTTCTTCATAGTCACCACCATGAAAGCCTCAAATCTTAAATTCTTAGGTTATTTAACAGTGCTGTTTCATCTGAATAAGTTGATAGGGAGACCATCATGATTGAGTAGGTAAGGGGTTTGGAAGGAGATGCTTGTGGTCTGTTTCAAGGTATCTTTCTGCCATTCACTTGGAGAAAGTGAGGAAAGCTGGCCAGAACCCAGCCAAATTTGGACATGCCTAGAGTATTGCTGCGACACCAGTCTTCTGGATGATGGATCGTGAACCTTTGGCACTGACTGAGATGTTGGCTGATGCCAGTGATTACAGGTTTTGTCTGTATTAACAGCTGGAGTCACTTGATATTTCAGTAGTTCACCAAGCCATAACTTCAACTCATAAAATATATTTTCGCTGTTACTGTATGTATCTGCCCAGAATATTGAGAATGATGTTTGCCCCCAGAGAGGGCACTACAATGAAACATGATGTATTAGCATGTTGATTATTGTGAACTGAAATGCAGTAGGTCAGATTTAAGAAGCCGTACCTTAGACAAAATAAATGCAGTTTGTGTTCTTAGAGTCATGTATAAAGTATGTATTGAAGAAGATCTAACAAATATGCAGCAGCAAGTATATCATTAAGAGTGCTAGGTGGTACGGAGCAATGAGGATAGCTCCACACCTTCTTATTGGTAAGTAACCATTAATGCAAGTTTGGTGCCGGACAATGAAAAGGTTCACCATCCTTGTAGTAGGGTGTTCGTGGTGCTTTGAATAGGACACCAGATTGTTGGTGTTGATTCCCCAGATGTATGTTGACAGATCTTTTTTTATCCAAGAGATATGCACTGAAGCAGTCAGAGAGCAACATTCTGTAGCTAACATAGTGGAGGATATTCTCATGGGTTAGTGACTAGACATGGCTTAGATTGACAGGTGGAACACTCATAACTTGTAACTACAAATAACTGTAACAGTGCAACTAATTTGCGCTCTATAGATCACTACAACTACAGCACACATCAAGACTTCTGTTTGTTTTATAGTCGTCATTAGGTAGTGTGTTAACAGTGCGGCTCAAGACTGCTGACTACTCTGACCTCCGACGGTCAACTTTTGAGTATCTGTCTGGTAAATTGTTGCTGGCTGTCATCAGCACAGTCATTCTTGGTTCCAAGTTGTGCGGGACCGACGACTGTGTTCATCCACTGTTGCGTGTTTGTTTGTTGCCATGGAAACACGTTTACTGCACCACTGCATAGCAATAGCTGCTTCTCTTTTCTCACTATTCTGGCTTTCAGTCATCACTCCACATTATTAAGAAACATGGAAGTCAACATAGAGCTCACATTCAAAGGATAGAAGATACGATACTGCCTAAGGAAGCAATGCAGTACAGACCTTGGGGAAGAAGAAATATTGGGTGACCTGATAGAAGGTGATCAAATCAGCAGTAACACTTGGAACAGGTCCTAGAAGCCTGAACATAGACAGTACAGAGGGAGAAGAAGACTCAATTTATCCAGTATTTTAGCCAGAACATAATAAAGATATTAGGCAATAGCTATGTCTGCAAAAGGTTTGTTCATTTTTAGTGTGGGAGTAGTAGGTTTCTTCTTTGTTGTTGGAACTGAAGTTTTCCAGCTATGGATGTATACATCCACTCCATTTGCCTTTATAGTGTAGTGCTTAATTAGATAAGCACAGGGACAACTTACTTACCTTTAGTCAGGGTTTGGCCTGTTCTTTTTCCTGTTTCTAATTATTACAATACTTTGAGTTCCATAAGACAAAGTGAATTAAATGTTTAATTCAAAGTTTGAATTCCTTTTAATCTTTTTAAAGTGGCGTGTGAGTTGTGAACTGTAACAAGAACCTTTCTTGCAGTTTGTTGAGACTTTGTCACTACATTTAATTTTTAGTTCATGGTAAAATATTATAAATTATCACATGTTACATTATCTTAACAAATACAGAAAAGTGATATGTTCTGATGTTAGCTTATTTTTAGCATACTTTCCTTATTTTCAACAAATAAAAGTAGGTCTATGAGATCAGCATGCTGTATATGTCTGTGAATCTGCCTCTATCAACTTTTGAATGCCTGAACCAACCTTTATGAAACATGATATGTATATCATGGCATCTAAGCCCATTCCAGCGGCATACTTCATAAATCCCTCCCATCAGCCTGCGTGTCTGTATGTGTATCCCCCTTTTGTTGCTAGGCAGCAGCTTGAAAGAAACTGTTACTATGGCGATGAATACAACCACAACAATAAAAGAATTGCTGAACATGTCATTTTCTATGTGGTCCTTGTTGTGTCAAAGGAAAGTAGGCGATTAGTTCTTTGCAGAATGACTTATTATATATGTTTGGATGCATGTTCATAACATGTAATATATATCTTCATGATGCATCATATGCAGGCTCTATAGGTCACATGTGCAAAAGATTCGGTTATTATGTTAGACACAACATAATGTAAGGTAACAGTAAATTCTGACAACCATTTCATTGCTATACTGTGTTTTTAGCCCATGATATTGGTAGTTATTTGTATCATCTATTGCTCTTACCTACCATTGGTTATTTCAATATTAGAGTGAATTTACTGACTACACAACATGTTTTTTATTATCACTACATGTTTCGACCTTAAGAGGTCATCTTCAGGTGTATGAACACAGCTGTATAATTACACGCGGCCACATTCACTTTTTACTCATTTGATCTTGTATCTTATCCAGACTTATGCTCACTAATATATCGAGTTCTTTTTATATATTTTTTTTATGAAACACAGGTTAAAATTATTATTATTCTAATTTAATTGTTAAAGGTTAAGTTCGATTCACGAACTTTTAACTTTTAACAATTAAATTAGAATAATAATAATTTTAACCTGTGTTTTATAAAAAGAACTCAATATATTAGTGAGCGTAAGTCTGGATAAGATACAGGTTGAATGAGTAAAAAGTGAATGTGACCACGTGTAATTATACAGCTGTGTTCATACACCTGAAGATGACCTCTTAAGGTCGAAACATGTAGTGATAATAAAAAACGTGTTGTGTAGTCGGTAAATTCACTCTACTATTGATTAAACACACAACAGGATGCAAGAAACAATTAAAATTGGTTATTTCTCTTGCTGATGGTTCTATGGGGGTGGGGATTCAGGGAATTCCCTTCATTAACCTTCTGTCCATTATAGTTTGCAGTGACTTCTTACAATGTGTTTTCCATCTTAAAATACTGCATGTATTACATCTTTCCTTTGGTTTTATGACTATAAAAGGACATGGAAACAAGATTTTGGATTAACTTGCTAGAAATATTGTTAGTTTCATTTGTATTGAGGTGTAATATACTTGTGTAGGTTAACAAAGATTTTGTACATATCTGACAGATATCAGCGGGGAAGATTCAGATATATTGAAACCTGTTAGCAACAGCGAAATGAACAATTGGGAAGACTAGTGTTTTTTAAATTTTAAACTACGTGCAGTGTAGCAGGCAGCTACGTGAGAGTATACACCTGATGATGGCCATTTGCGGCCAAAACATGTAGTATAGAAGAAAGCAAGATGAAAGAACTACAATAAATTGTTGCACTTAGGATGGAGTTTATGTCATATATTGTGTAGAGTGTGACAGGATGCTTAAATATAATATTGTATACTTGAGGTTGTAAAGAATTTTTTTTTTTTCAGACAATACTAATAATGTAACAATGGCTTCATCACATGAAAGGCTCCTTTTGGTCTACAGATCTTTTCTCTGGTAAAAATAATTGCTCTTTTGGCTTAATGAATGGAACATAAATCATGGAGGTAGCCGAGCTATTAGATCGGCTAGAATCAAATCAACCAGAAATTGTAGAAGAAAGCAAGAAAAAATTTCGTGAAATCTTCCTTAATAGTGAGTATTTTTAACATTTTATATTAAGCATTAACCCTTTGATGAGTATGCAGATACAATGAGGACATCTGTTATGTTGTAGTATCCTTAGTGAGTGAAACTAATTTGAGATTATATACTACAGATTTTCAGGTTATGAAATGAAATAAACTTTGTCTTCTGCCTCCATATATCTCCACAAGTCATGACTCCACAAGGAGAGAAAGTCTGTGGGAAGTTGTTTCCATTTTGAATTTATGTGCTCTTTTAGATCAGTGGTTCCCAAACTTTTTTGGGGCCACTGCTGCCTAGGTTTCACAAACTTACCCCCTGTCCTATGTTACGAAAAACATTGTTCAGAATAGCAGCTCTCACAACTCATTAAGGAAGATAATAATAAAATACCACAATTAATAACTATTTTCACTGATAGTAAAATCTTAATGATACGGATGGGCTTGATGAAGTGATACCAGTTTCCCACTGTCTGGTCTGAAGTCACTTCAGTTATAAATATGTGAGCATTGTGCCGAGAGGGGCTACCTTATGTGCCCTCATGCCACCCATTGTGTCTTAGTACTCCCCTAGGTAACCCAATGCCCCCACCCACTGTACCACCCAAGGGGTGGTACATCCCACTTTGGGAACCGCTGGTTCAGAACATGTGGTATGGGCCTGATCTAACGGTATTTATTGGCATCATAATGATGTAAACAGCCACACTTAGGGCATGGCAGATTTCAGGTCTGTAGATTCAGAATGTTACAGTGTTTTTTGTTTTGGCTTGCTGTTTTAAGTGCTTCATAGTTGGGCAACATCCTGCTACTGGCACATTGTACTTGGTATTGTTGACATTGTATGGTTACACATTAAAATCTGTTGTAATTTGCCAGTTTTAGAGGTGAGGGGTTTCTGGATATTCCATAATTTCTTTTTATTGTCCCATCTTTCATTGGCTGGGCGTGGAATGGAAATCTTGGGCTATGCTGTGGTGGAGCCAGCAGATATTAGTAGAGTCTCAGTCAGACAGGTTGTGGCCATGGCATTCTTTTGAAGAGCTCTAGTGAAAATGGGTGCACATTGGGCTGTGCGCATGCACGCGCGCGCGTGTGTGTGTGTGTGTGTGTGAGAGAGAGAGAAATAGAATGAGAATGTATATGCAAGTATCTGTGCAAGTGCATATGTGAGTGTGAGAGTGAAGGAAGGGGAAGGAAAAGGAATAATGAATGAAATTATACAGTGTGATCATATTAGAGCATAAGAATTAGAATATACATAACTATAATTTTGCCTGTGGTTATGTATGTGTGTGGAACTTTGTCTCTGACATTAAGGGAGGAACATAGACTGAGGATGTGTGAGAACAGGGTGTTGAGGAGAATATTTGGATGAAAGAGTGGTGAAGTGATGGGAGATTGGAGAAAACTGCATAATGAGGAGCTTCATAACTTTTCCTTTTTTCCAAGTATAATTAGAATGATAAAGTGAAGGAGGATAAGATGGACAGGGCATGTATCATGAATGTGGGAGAGGAGGAATGTTTATAGGATATTGGTGGGAAAACCAGAAGGAAAGACACCACTGGGAAGACCAGGACATAGGTGGGTGAACAGTATTAAAATGGACCTTAGAGAGATAGGATGGGATGGTATGGGCGGGACAGATTTGATGCAGGATAGGGACTGGTGGAGGGCTCTTGTGAACACGGTAAAGAACCTTCAGGTTCCATAAAATGCTGGGAAGTTCTTGAGTAGCTGCAGAATTGGCGGCTTCTCAAGAAGGGCTCAACGTGTGTCTGTGTGTGAATCATGTTAGAGCTTCCTGTGATTCAGTGAGCTGCACTTGCAAAAGGGTTGGGGATCCCCCACCTGTGTAGTGAGGTTGCAGAGATTCAGGCAAGTAACAAGCCACATATCTATGGCCTGGATTCATTACAAATTTTCTTCAGTTTTATGCCGCTATATTAGTAGCCAGGACATGTAGTTGGTATAGCAACTGACTGTAGGCTGAAAGACCGAGGGGTTGGAGCTCGAGTCCCAGTAGGGTCAAGAATTTTCTCTTCTCCATGCCATCCAGACTGGCTCTGGGGTTCACCCAACCTCCTATCCGATGGGTACCATGGTTAAAGCGACTGGGGTGTGAAGCTGACCACTCACCTCCAGCTAGTGCCGAGGTCAAAAGAATGTGGATCTATACAGCCACTCCCCCGTATGTCTTCATGGCGTAGTGCTTAATTAGTTAAGCACAAGGACAACTTTACCTTTTTTTACCACAGTAAATTGTTTAACATCTGCTGTGAAGTGAGCTTGTGTGTTACGTACCAATTGACTGGGATCGCGAGCTCCTGCTACTGACTTGTTCTATAAACATTCACTCATTTGCCATTTCCTATGTTGAATTGCCACATGCAAGTTACAGATTGAAAAATTGTTCTTTATAGAAAATAAGATTGTAATATTCATCTCAGGATTGTACAGTTCCACATAGAAGAACTACACATAGAATTAGAAACAGATTTAAACCTGTGGATCATTACTGGACAGAGAGAACTGCATTAAACTGCTGGGTGCTAACTCAATAGAAATTGGATGAATTGGTTCTGGGCTTGAAAACTCTTCCTCCAGAATCTTTAATACACTTTGTACAAGAGATTGGGATTTCTCATCTCAAGTTTGCTGTGTGTCAGGAATGCATGTGGAACATTAAAGAGTATTTCTGGTAGCTGCTATAAGATAGATTCAATTTGTTTGTAATGTATAAGGGGCAGTCAAATGAAAATGGGTCACCACACATAACTCACATGGCGCGCAAGTTGGTAACACTGGAATTTGCTTATGGTACGAACATCTGGTGGGACTTGGGAAAGCACAGTTACAACGTGCCCTTGCACACTAGTCGTTTATTTATTGTGCTGGAAGTAAGGTTAGCACTACGTGTGGTCCAACATTAGTAATGGAGGTGGATAAAGAAGAACAGCAAAGTGTAGTGTGCTTTTTGACTGCTGAAGGAGTAGGAGGATGAGAAATTCATCGTTGCATGTGTGTTGTTTACTGCGAACACAGCATGTCATGTTCGCATGTGCTGGTATGGCATAAGAGATTCCGAGAGGGACGTGTGTCACTGCAAGGTGATGCTCCCCCAGGCNATATTTCCCCCATCTACCAGAGGCATTGGAAACTACTTGGGAGGGAAATTATTGCCTAATTTTGCTCAGAGGTCTCCTAGAGACATGAGGATCTTTTACGTGCCGTAAATCTACGACACGGGACCCACGGCTTAAAGTCCCTCCTGGAGGACTTGTTCCCTGAATTTTTCTTCCCTTAAAAATTCCATGACCTCCACCGGGTTTGAACCCGCATACCTTGATTCATGAGGTGGGAACTTTACCCCTAAACTATGGAGGCCGCTTTTGATGGGAATAAGTCACGGTTCCGTACAACGCCATTGTGACAAAAAACACCTGCTGTACCACAAAATCTGCACGCAGTGGGTTCCACATCAACTCACAGAGGAACAGAAGACTCAGAGAATGGCTGCATCACTGAGTCACTTGCAACAATACCACGAGGAAGAGGATGCTTTTCTGCCCCGTATTGCCACTGGGGACGAAACTTGGTGCCACCATTTTGAACCTGAGAGCAAACAGCAGAGCCAACAGTGTAAACACGTGAATTCTCCCCCACTGAAGAAATCCAAGTTCCGGTAAAGTGATGATGATGTTCTTCTTCGATTGCCAGGGCCCTCTGCTTATCGAATTTTCGAGCATGGGGACACAATCAGTGCACATCGCTAAGAAGACACTTGCAGAAACTGAGACTGCCCAGGAATGCTATTGAACAGCCTTATCCTTCTTCATTATAATGCACACCCCACACTGCCAACTCTGTGAGGAATATGCTACAGAGATTTGGTTGGGAAGTGCGTCAACATCCCCCCTACAGTCCAGATCTCTCCCCACGTGATTTTCACATTTTTGGAGACCTGAAGAGAGACATTCATGGACATCGGTTTGCATCGGATGAAGACGTGTGTCGCTGGGTAAAGATGTGGTTCCCTAGACAGCCCACAAGCTTTTTCAAGGATGGGATTGACCATCTTATCTCCCAGTGGGATAAAAGTATTAACAGTTTTGGAGAATACTTTTGAGGTAAGAAATGTTCTGTAATATATTTTGGCTTCTGACCCATTTTCATTTCACTGCCCCTCATACATTTGTCAGTTGTGCTAGCAGTCAGATTTTCTGTGGCCTGACTTGTGTCAGGAGGAATGTCCAACTCTTCTATCTGAGCAGCTTAGCAATTTTTTGGAAGCCATGAGATGATTGCATTGCAGTAGTATACGGGGAATTCCACATTGCGCATCATATTACGTATGCAAGATCAAAATGTGATATTTCTTATGCTTACACTAAAGTTCATTTACTATGTGTAATTGAAAAGAATAAACAATTGTGAAATGTGAAGCTGTACCAGTATCTTGTACTCTTTTGGGATGATGTCACCTTTGTATAACCACAGTGACAAATTAATGAAGTGAGAGAAATTTAAGAAAAATAATTGCTTAAATTCTTCAAGAAAAATTTCCATTAGCTTTAGAGTTTTAACTCTTGAATACTGAGGAAATTCCACTTGTAACAGAAATTTAGAAATATTTTCTGTGTAAATATTTTAGAACTCTTTATGTTAGCCTTTATTAACGAATTTTAAAACTGAAACATATGGAAGGTTTCACCAAATTATCTTATGAACTGATATTTCATTGCAGCCAAAGAATCGTGGCTTGTGAACGGTCTTTGCGACTACTACTTATCAACTAGTTCATCAAGGTCAGTTGAAATACTGGTGGGTGTTCGTGAGCCTCATGATAGACACCTCTTTGATAGGTGAGTGAGTAACCTTGTAGTTGTCAAGCATGTAATTAATCATGTTAACTCATCAAGCTAGAACAGTGGTTCTTCATCTACTTTTTGAAACCTACACTTTGTGATAATATAAAGATATAATTTTGACTCATCATTCCATATCGTTCATCACAAGTAAAGAGTTATTAGTTCTGGGTTTTATTTTTTTCATTTCACCTTTTTAAAAATATGCCCACAAAATCATCATAAATGCAAGCCATTTGTAATAACAGGTTCGTTCATTCATTCATTCATTCATTCATTCATTTCCTTTATTTTCCATATATCCATACAGGCAAAAAACCTAGGATGTGGAAATAGTTCCTTTGATAATAGATGTATACATATAATAAATTACATAAGTCACACAACCAAAATCACACACACTAGTCAACTAACATAGACAGTAGAACAAAAAAAAACTTATTACAATTATAATTACTAAACATAATATAAAAAGAGCTTTACTATAAAAACTTGGAATTAATACAATTTCACTCAAATTACCCAAATTAACTGAATTAAATGCTTTCTTTATTTCATTTTCCCATAAATCAAAATACATTGATACAGGACTCGTCATATACATACATACACATCCTCCACTTTCCATAAACATCCATACAGGCAACAGACCCAGGATGTGGAAAGTCACCAAACACATACACAAAGTCACACAAGCCACACAACAAAGATCACCCACAATATCTAACACATACAACAATACGAGACAAAAAGATAATATCCTGATTAACAGACATAAGTCACAAGTAACCACAATACAACCCCTCACATCTCACATACCAACTATATTAAAATGTGGCGTTAAAACATTCAAATTTATGTACATTTGTAATTAAAATACTCATTTAATGCATAAAAAGAGTTAGCATGTAAAAATCTTTTTAGGGAACGTTCAGAGGATTTCTGATTATTAGATAATTGTTTCAGCTCTTTAGGCAGATGATTGTAGATTTTTATACCTGAATAATATGCACCCTTTTGAACTTTAGTAAGAGAAGTACTCGGTGGAAATAGGTTAACATTCTGTCTGGTACCAATATCTACGATTATAAACTTTGTCAAACGTCAATAGCCCGGACCGATTCTGTAAAAGACCTGGGAGTGTTTATTGATGCTAAGCAGTATTTCCATGACCAGGTAAATTACATTTTCTCTCAATGTGCGAAACTGTTGGGTCTAGTTCATAACATTACCTTCAATTTCTCATCGGTAGACTGTATGTTCGCCGGTCACGGTAGCCAGGTGGTCTAAGGCGTGCACTGTCTTTGCTCGCTCGGAAGCCAGGATCGTGGGTTCGAATCCCACCCAGGGCATGGATGTTTGTGTGCATTTTTCTGTGTTTGTCTACAGGTAGAGGCCTTGCGATGAGCTGATCACTCGCCCAAGGAGTCCTACCATGTGTGTAAGATCTAGAAAAACTGAAGTGAACCTAGTTCATGGATGTAGGCCTAGGCCCACTGGGGCTGTAGTGCCAAGGAAAAAAAAAAAAACTGTATGTTCAAATTGTACACTACGTTAGTTACATCTAAGCTTGAATATGCGTCCGTAGTCTGGAATTTGATTACATCAACTGATGCCAACAAGCTGGAACGCATCCAGCAGAGGTTTGCGGCCCTTTGTTTTAAATGTTTCTTTCCTCAAGTTCATTACAATTATTCTCTTGCTCTTGAGGAGTTAAAATTGCATACTTTATGTACTAGGAGACATCGCCTTGATGCTCTCTTTCTTATTCAAGTTTATTTTGGCTTGAAATTCTGCCCTTCTGTTCTGGAAATTGTTGGTCTCTGAGTTCCTGCTCGGTATATCAGAGATTTTACGTTGTTCAATGTTTGCTCCTCATCTAAAAATTGTCCCTCTGCTAGATGCGCAACAGCTGCTAATGTTGTCTGCAGGGATGTTGACGTATTTGGAGCCAGGAATGTTATACCCAAACAAATTTTAAATATAGAATAACTGTTAGTATTTTTATTATTTGCATGTCCAATAAAACAAAATGAATTATTATTATTATCCTCTGAAAATCTATACTATTCATTTCTTAATTAATACTTATGTTTCATTTCTCACTTCTTAATAACACTTAGTTTAATGATAATGAAATTATTATTACTGTTATAATTATCATTTATTTGTTTGTTTGTTTACTTTTCTTCATTACTGTTTCTTCCAGTTACTTACCTGTAATTTGTGTTTGACTTATAATAAGTTTGTCTATAATGTAATTACTTTCATCTGCACTGTGCTCTGTCTGTAATTGGCCTTGCGGCTGTTGACTCAGCACATAAATAATAAAGAATTGAATTGAATTGAATTTCTTGCAAACAAATGTATTCATATTCATATTTATTTGCATTCATACTGTTACAACTGCAACACTTGAACAAGTCAACTCACTAAATACATCATTGTTAAAAGCTCTATAATCCTAGAATGTATTAGACTAAAAATAAAACTGTATAATCTGTATGTTATTTATAGTGTGTTGCATTAAGGAATATATGTATTGAGAACACAAAGGCAGAATTTTCATTTCCTTGAAAGAGTCTCTACATGAATCTGTTTTCTTTAATCCCATCATAATCCTTATGACTTTCTTTTGGATCATAAAACGTTTTGTCATGTATGAAGAATTGCCCCAGAAGATAATTCCATATGTCATCACAGAATGTATATAAGCAAAATAAATCATTCTTAAGCTACTTAATGATATCATAGGCTTAACTGATCTCATGAGAAAGCAAGACGAACTCAATTTTGTAACCAGGTAATCAATATGATACTTCCAACACAGCCTATTATCAATATTTAGGCCTAAAAATTTAATACACTCTAAGTTAGTTGGTAAATTTTGATCAATATTATTATGCATATTATGATCCTCATAGTTCATTAAAGTGAAATGGAGAGTGTGGGTTTTATGAATATTTAATTTTAGCAGATTGGTTCTGAACCATGTATTAATATTGTAAAATATTCTGGTCATGGCTGATTTGTAGTCAGCGTATTCCGGATTAGTCACAATTATACTTGTATCATCTGCATATAAGAATATGTTTGTTCCATTAATTGAAACCTTAGTTATGTCATTTATATACAAGAGGAAAATAAGTGGGCCAAGAACTGAACCTTGGGGTACACCAAATTTTACTTCTGCCCAACTAGACGAGCTATTAATAGAACTGTTAGGGCCAAGGGTTACTCTTTGATATCTTCCATTCAGGTAAGATTTAATTAAGGCACCAAATTTGCCAGTTATTCCATAAAACTCTAATTTTTTGATAAGTATATCATGATTGATACAATCAAAGGCTTTGTGTAAGTCGCAAAATATTCCTCCAACAAACTATCTATTATTCATTGCTTTTAGTATTTCCTCTATTAATTTGAAAGATGCTTTTTCTGTAGATGAATTAGGTCTAAAACCATACTGATTATTGTCCAATATATGATTACTGTCTATATGTTCATACAATTTATTATATATAACCCTTTCAAAAACCTTAGAAAAGGCTGACAATAATGAAATAGGCCTATAGTTGGCTGGTTCTTATTCATTATCACTTTTGAAAATTGGCTTAATGACAGAAAATTTCATTCTGTCTGGAAACGTTCCCTGGGCAAGGGATTGGTTACAAATGTAAGTTAGTGGCGAAGTTATATATGGCATACTTGCTTTTAAAATTCTAGTTGAAATTTCATCATAACCATGTGAAGACTTGGTCTTCAAAGATTTGATTATCTTTCTGATCTCAGCAGTTGAGACATAATGCCATTTGATAGATTTAAAAGTAGACGTGTATTTATTGCCCAGATAATATAATGGATTGATGTTGGAGTTTTATTATTGCTTAAATCATCTATAATTATCTGAGCTACTGAGATAAAATATTCGTTAAATATGTTTGCAATGTGCTTTTTGTTCTGTATCATAATATTATTGACTTTCAGCGATTGGGGTTCATCCTTCTGAGTTTTAGATCCAGTCTCTTTTTTAATAATTGACCATGTAGTTTTTATTTTATTATAAGATTTTGAAATTTTATTATCATAGTGTACTTTCTTAGCCTCTTTAATAACTTTAGTAAGCACTTTACAGTATTTCTTATAATACAGCTTAAAATGTGGATCATCATCTTGTCTATATTTAAGATATAACTTCCCCTTTTTTTCACAAGAAATCCGTATCCCTTGAGTCATCCACGGGTTGCATTTAAGTTTGGAAGTAATAATTTTTTTTAGTAAAACATGAGTAAAAAATTCTTAAGTAAGTATTAAGAAATACATTAAAAGTATTGTTTACATTGTCATTTGTGAAATCATCACCCCATAGTTCATAGCTTAGCATTTCTTGAAATTTAGTTATATTATAATTACTATAATTTCTCATGTACTGAGGATTACCTACTTGTTCAGATGACATTAGTATTATCAATTATTATCATCTGAGCATCATGATCAGATAGTCCGTTAATTATTGGTTTAATTGTATAATTTTTAGTCTCTTTTTTATATATGTTGTCAGTAGCTGTTTTTGATACCTTAACAATTTGTGTTGGAAAATTAACCGTACCTATTAGATTGTATGTATTTAAGAGTGCATCAAGTTGTCACCTTCTATCACAATTTTCTAAATAATTTATATTTACATCACCACATATAACATATTCAACTTTATTATTATGTAGCTTATTCAAGATGGTATCCAATTTTTGCAAAAAATTGTTGAAGTTTCCAATAGGTGACCTGTAAATAGCTAATATGATCAACGTGATACTTGTCAGGCTTAATTTGATTGCACAGGCTTCGATGTCCTTTTCCACACAGTAGTTAGACACAGATACAGAATTAAATTTAATTGAGTTATAAATATATATGCATACACCCCCATTTTTGTATGTTGATCTACAATAATTGGCCCCTAATGCATAATTATCTACACATATTTTATTTATTTCATA